TTCCCTCTCTCTTTCCCTTTCCCTCTCTCTTTCCCTTTCCCTCTCTCCCCATCACCTCCCTTCTTCATCTCCACCCCAATTCAATGCCAAATGACTCCCTGCATAGCTGTCATATGAAGTAATGGAAATCAGGAGAATTTTTTTCACACATGATGATCTACATCCCTTTGCAAGTCTCTATAACGGCAGTTTGCCACTGTGCAGCTGTCATTCTGAGCAAATTGCATTTTTAAAGAAAAAGAATATTGCGCTCTTGAAAGAAGTCTTGCAGCTGCTGTGGAGGATAATACTAGGCCAGAGAAGAGAGATACTTGAGGGGAAAGGTGACTGGGTTAAGTAGCTCGATAACATTGTAAAAAATATTTAAAGTGTAGACCATATTATCACTTCTAGTTTAGCAATAACACTTGGTTTGTGAAATATATTCAAAGCTGAGAGTTTGAGGAAAGATAATGTTTTTGTTCCCAATTGGAAAGGCAGCTTACTGATTCAGTGTAGTGCTAATCACTTAAAGTTATGACTGGGTCTGGATTTCTGACGAGTCTACTTCTCTGGTTTGACAGAACAAATAGGGAGAAATCCATTCTAATTGAAAGGCAGTCTGTAGCCAGAGAACACAGATAATTGGCAAAGGGAACAGAGGGTGGAATGAGATTTTGCTTTTGCATAGTGAGTTATAATGTGAAATGACTTGCCTACATTAGGGTTAATGATAACTTCCAAAAGGGAATTGGATAAACATGTGACAAAGAGAAATTGAAGATCTTTGTGAAAAGAGCAGGGAAAATGAGACTACAGCTTTCTAAGAGCTTGCAGAAGTGGGCCAAATGGCCCTTTTCAGTTCTGAATTGTTCTATCTAGATACGGAGAAGTGCTTCATGTAGATCTGTTTATTGCTATGGTGAGTGCATGGATAGAGGGCAATCATGTCTGTACACAGCAAGATGCCATGAACAACAGCAACAAGATTAATGACTGCATGATGTTTTTGGAATGAATATCAGGCAGGATGCTGGAAGAATTTCCCATTCTTCATAGTGTTGCCAAGAAATCTCTAGTAGCAGATGCAGGATGCTGAAGACCTGAATTGAACATTTCATCAGTGATCCCTCCCTCAGTGCTGCCCTAAATTGGCATTCGATGTTACCTGCTCAAGCCCCAGGAGTCCTGTCCACTGCACCTACATACAAGTCACTTGTGTTCAGTTTTTAAAAAAAAGCATTAAAGCAGAAAATGCTGGAGAAACTTAGATTTGGCAAAATTAATGGAGAGAGAGACCCACACACAGAGTTAATGTTTTGCATCCGTGAGGTTTTTTTTAGGAACACCTATGTTTGTCTCTGTTGACTTGGCTAGTGCTAGCTATCTGTTAATCCAAATTATTTAATGATGATAATCTCTGAATTGGTATTATTTCTCCACTGTGGCCCAAGGATTTTTATAGCAGTTTTGTTTGCTTTGTGTTTTAAAATACTTCCTTCTAACTTACTCCATCACTCCCACAATACGATGGCACTGCAGAATATATTAACAGTTGACTAAGGGTAAAGGTATTTAAAAAGGAGTTTTGAAAAAACTGTTGCATCTTGTGTTCATTTTGCAATAACATGACATCTATCTTCAGTGACATGGGCTTAGAAATTATATTGCTTCTAGTCTTCTTCACCCATGATCCCTGTGCTTTTTAACTTACCTGGGTTTCTGATCTAGCAGTACTTCAATTCTTTGTGGTCAGGTCCTTTTAAGGTCTCACTACTCTTTGCCTCAGAAATCTCCTTCCTGATCCAGAGAATTAACGTGCTCCATTAATTCTGACCTCTTGAGGACCTCAATTTAATGGCTTGCTGCAATTTGGTCAGGGACTCTAATAGTTAGAAAGGAATCGAACTGACTCCCTCACAAATTGGCGGCACAGTGGCACTGCTGCCTCGCAGTGCCAGGGACCTGGGTTCGATTCCACCCTCGGGTGACTGTCTGTGTGGAGTTTGCACATTCTCCCTGTGTCTGAGTGGGTTCTTCTGGGTGCTCTGGTTTACTCCCACAGTCCAAAGATGTGCAGGGTAGGTGGATTGGCCATGCTAAATTGCCCATAGTGTTCAGGGATGTGTAGCTTAGGTGGGTTATAGGGGAATGGGTCCGGGTGGGATTCTCTGAGGTTCAGTGCAGACTAAATTGGGCGGAAGGGCCTGTTTCCACACTGTCCGGGGATTCTTAAAAAAACACTGAACTGCACTACAAGATTTTGCTTTTAACTAAAACACATCTTATTGTCTATATTGGAATTAAATAGAATAAGATATAGGAGTGGAGTTAGGCCGTTTAGCCCATCAGGTTTACTCTGCCACTCGGTCATGGTTGAAATGTTTCTCAACCCCGTTCTCCTGCCTTCTCCTCAAAACCTTTGATCCCCTGGTTAGTTAAGAACGTATCTATTTGTGTCTTAATAACACCCAATGACTTGGCCTGCACAACCTCCTGTGGCAACAGATTCACCACTCTCTGGCTGGAGAAATCCCTCCTCATCTCAGATCTAAAAGGTTGTACCTTAACTCAGGCTGTGCCTCAGGTCCTAGTCCCTCCCACTAGTAGAAACAACTTCTCCATGTCCACTCTAACGAGGCCTCTCTGTATTCTGTAAGCGTCAATCAGATCCCTCTCATCGTTGTAAACTCCATTGCGTACAGGTGCTGAGTCCTCAGCCGTTCATCAAATGACAAACCCCTTCATCCTCAGGATCATTTTTGTAAACCTTCTTTTTAACCCCATCTAAGGCAAGCACATCCTTCCTTAGATAAAGGGCCCAAAACTGCTTACAATATTCCAAATGTGGCTGACCAGAGCATTCTACACCCTCAGCAGTGCGTCCTTGGTATTGTATTCTAGCCCCTCAAAATGAATGCCAACACTGTACTTGCCTTCCCAACTGCCAACTTAACTTGCATGTTAACCTTAAGAGAATCATGAACTAGGACTCTCAAGTTCCTTTGTGCTTCAGATTTCCAAAGCCTTTCCCCATTTAGAAAATAGTCTCTGCCTCTTCTTTCTACCAAAATGCATAACCTCTCACTTACCCACTTTCTATGCTATCTGCTATTTTATTGCTCACTCTCCTACTTTGTCTAAGTCTTTATGCAGCCTTCCTGCCTCCTCAACACTACCTGTTGCTCCATCTATCTGTGTCATGTGAAAGCTTAGCAAAAATGCTGTCAGTTCCTTTGTCTGGATCGTTAATGTATAATGTGAATAGTTACGGTCCCAACGCTGATCCCTGCGGATCTCCACTAGTCACTGCTGTCATACTGAAAAAGATGCCTTTATCCTTGCTCTGCCTTCTACGAGTCAGCCAATCCTATCCATGCCAGTATCTTGCCCTAACACCATGGGTTCTTACCTTATTTAGCAGCCTTCTGTGTGGTACATTGTGGAAGGTCTTCTGGAAATCCACTGGCTCTCGTTTATCTAACTTACTCATTACCTCCTTGAAGAATTCCAACAGATTTGTCAGTCATAACCTCCCCTTGATGAAGCCATGCTGACTCAACTCTATTTTACCAAGCATTTCCAAGTATTCCACTGTTCCATCCTTAATAATAGACTCTGAAATCTTGCCAATGACTGAGGTCAGGCTGACTGGCTTATAACTTCCTGTCTTCTGCCTCCCTCCCTTCTCAAACAGGGATGCAACATTTGCCATTTTCTAGTCTCCTGGCACCTTCCCTGAAGCCAGTGATTCCTGAATGATCACCACCAACGCCTCCGCTATCTCCTTCAGAACTCTGGGGTGAAGTTCATCCAGTCCATGAACCCTGATGCAAAGTACCTATTAAGTTCCTCTGCTATTGCTTTGCTCCCCATTACTACTTCTCCAGCCTCATTTTCCAGAGTTCCAATGTCCACTGTTACCTCTCTTACCTTTCGTAAATCTAAAAAAAACTCTTGCAATTTTCTTTTATATTACTAGCTAGCTTACACTTATATTTTGTCTTCTGTCCCCTTTATTGTATTTTTTTGTTATCCTCTGCTAGTTGTTAAAGGTTTCCCAACCCTGTGGTTTTCCACTAATCTTTACCATATTGTAGGCTTTATCTTTTGCTTTTACGCTCTCCTGACTTCCCTTGTCTCATCTTCCCCTTAGTATGTTTCTTCTTCCTTGGGATGAATTTCTGATGTGCCCCCTGAATTACCCCCAGATACTTCTGACATTGCTGCTCCACAGCCTTCCCTGCTAGGCTCCCTTTCCAATCAACTCTGGCCAGCTTCTCCCTCATGCCTTTCTAGTTACCTTTACTTAATTTTACAACTTTACATTTTAACCCAGCTTCTGCCTGTTAAACTTCAGGGTGAATGCCTCTAGGGATTCCTTCACCTTAAGCTCCCTGATCAAGTCCGGCTCTTTACACATCACCAAATCCAGAATTGCCTGTTTCCCTAGTGGGCTGTACCACAAGCTACTCCAAATATCAATCTTGCAG